GAAATCATTTCTGTTGTCTCCAAATAGAAAACCAAAAGAAAATCGACCACATACTGAGGATACACACCAACCAGTTCATCTCAGCCATCGCCTTAGAAACAACCTATTCTCGCCCTCTAGCTGACATTATATAGCCATACCAAAATTCACTTGTCCCGCTACATCTCGCGTAAGTATTTCACACAAAGTTGGCATATCTACCACTTCCTCTGTTTTCCCTTCCCCCTCTCAGTGTCTCACACTTTTCCCCAGTAGACTTAAAAATGACTCCAACCTTATTCTTCACCACTGGCTGGAAATCACTCAACGAACGCTCTGAGAGTACAAAACCATAGATTCTACGCTTCTAACTGATAGATAAGGCGGAATAGAGTACTGAAGACGCTACTCTGAGGTTTGAACTAGGCGACCACCTGAATGTGAGCTTGATTTATAAAGAGGCGGAAGGAAATTGCTTGGGAAATAGTTAGTTGCTAAATGGTAGATTGGCATGGGAGCGTAAACGGAAACTAGGACTAGATACAGGAAGGGCGCTGGAGGTATGGAAACGTAGACGATTGGTAGCAGGTCTGTATCAGACGTGAGTGGTAGCACTACGTATATTCGAATGTCTTCGAAGTCTATCCTTTCTACGGGAAAGTATGGATGAATGTACAAATCATATTTCAGATGATCAAAGTAAGTGGAAAGATGAAGACACTTCCTCACAGGATGAGAATCAGCATATGGATCTGTGAACTCGGCGAGAATGGACCTGGACAGATTCTCAAAGGATGAAGAAGAGCTTTTTAGCTAAAAGTGATAGCGAAGAGTCACTGGTGACTTCAGCAAGTATGTCTCAATCCTAGTCATAGTATTTGGGGTCTCTGAGGTGAAAATATTACTCACGGGCGGTGTTATGAGGAAGAAGACATAGGCTGTCACTTTGGGCAAATCTGTTGGGAGGCTCATTATGTTAGAAAGATCATACGCAAGAGGATCCAAATCTTCCAAATTGCGATATATCAAGATAAAACGAAGTTGCCGAAGATTGAAACCAGTGGACGGTCTTCGTACACAAGATGTCATGAAAGAGAGCAACACCTACTCATATTTAAAAAGGTGGAGAAAGATCCCCAGATATATATCAACCTACAAAATTCTAAGCAAGACGGATAAGGTATGATGACTGTAGCTTTGAATGTGACTTAGATCACGGGATACGAATAATTTGTGATTCGTTGCAGCGTCTAGCCAGTGCGGAAGTGATATCGTCAGATTGAGATTAGTTAGTTATTTAGGTACTTGTAGGAAGAAACAAACAACACGAAGAGTGATCATGAGATCCTACGTAAGCCAAAGTTATTTGGAAAATGATGGGAGTAAGGGTAGGTAGCAGGCACTCAGAGAAGAAAAGCAGTTAAAATCGCGATTTGCCTCGTTTTACCATCTATTTCTTGTTCATTGTGTAAAATGCCTAAGATGAAAGCCATTATGAAGTTCAGAAGCTGTATACCTATTGTTAAAAGGTACCGCCTTGTTTAATCACGGAATTCCAAGTTGATACAGTAGTCACGTGGTTTCGACCTCAGTGGCCCATTGCTGGTTCGGAGCTCAAAGGAGAGACCTAAAGATAAGCTGCAGCTATGGTGTCATGTGCAAATATAGTGTAATCGTAGATGCTGGCCGGGTGAATGTATGGATTGTGAAATTGAATCGTTCCACTGGACAAGAAGTGAAATGGGTCCCCGAGGATGTCTTGTTGTGAAAGCGCAAAAAGGAACTTAATTACAGGCTATCATTCGCCCCCATAAACTTACTTCCAGCCCTTGTATTGTAATAATCGAGTATGTTGAGCAGCAGAAAGATGAAAGAAGAGTCCGCCGTGGGTTATAATTGATGAATGGAGATAGCTTCGGCTCTGAGGAAGATGGAGTGAAGAAATTGGATGGGAAGTTGACGAAATTAGGAGTATATCTGTGCGTGTTGAATTAGCAAATTGTATATAAAACAAGAAATGGTGGCAAATTTCAAAGAGGATAGTCAGAAGTGGGAGGAAAAACAGATGGGGAGAGGACTGTGAGCCGAGAGTCAGAACTCCAGATTGGAGATCGAAGAACCGCGATTATAACCAAGAGATGTGCGTATTGGCGGATGAGAGGCTGAACTGTGAATGCAAGACGGGCATATTAGCCGAAAGAGAAGAAAACAAGAGGGAACTTCAAAATTCGAAGAAGCAGAGCTCACGGGTTGATGGGAGTGTTATAGTCATTCGTCGAGTGCTGGCAGCTCCGAGTATGTAACAAATGTATCCCTGTATCTGTTTTGAGAAGCTTTTAACTGCAACTTCTATCCAAGTATCTCCTCCCCCCAAATTATAATACGCGAACAGGAATCAAAGTGACAGGGGCCGTAGATTATTTACCGTTGATCGCAGAATCCCTTGTTGTACATCAAGATCAGGGATCGCAACGAGCGCGGATATCTATCTACTCTTGAGCTTTCTTTTTATGTATCGGCAAGATAATAGACATGTCCAGCTTCTCCTTTGTAGATTGTTTCTATGTAAATTATATTGAATTCTATCTTCCGTGTGCTATGAAGGCGTTTAGACGTTCGTTGTCGATGCTCGCATGGTCCTCCTCGGTGCCCTTCTCCTTTTATATTTAGCGATAACTACTTGAAATTATGGGTCGGCAATAACTTTAGAGATTCGGCAGTGGTTGATGATCAGGGATGCGATCTTGTGTGAAGGGTTGCTGCTCTTATGAAATTAGCATTCTGAATAGTAAACGAGAAAGGAGTATTCGTCTGTGCAACTGCGCGATGAATATCTGAGACCCCAGGAAAATGCTGGGATCAGATGAGCTCCAGTCCATCTGCGGATTATACTTGAGAGTTTCGTCTGGAAGGACGAAAGTCTGACTCTGGCATAGACCATTGCTGCTGAGATGAGGCGCATGTCAGTGATGTAGAGTTGTCGAAAATGAACCAATTTAGGATAGAGTGTGATGAGTTCTTCCAAAAGTTCTAGACTAAAGATGAGCAGAGCATCCAATGTGCGCCGGGGGTATATGCGACTTGCTCTGGAGATTTAGATTGGCTTCAGGAAGAGATACGTACAGAGGCAGCCGGGCTCAATTCTCATCATGGGAACGAATAACGCTAGTGTTGTAGCTATTATTGTACAAACTTCTCTCTATGAGACTTTGATGTGATTGGTGCGTTGATGATGAATATGAATTATAGAAGTTTCTCCGTCATATAAGTATGTTGCTGAAGTATCAAAAAGAGATATGGTAACAGTTTTCGATTTCGAGCGGGTGGTTCGAGAGTGTATAAAATATTTAGTAGGTGTGGGTAGGAAGTGTCGAGGCATGCTTGTGGTTAGGGAAGGAACGCATTCTCCTTAGAACGGTCTTCGAAATAAATTGTGCCTTTGCTTTCCAGACCAGTCTAAAAGGCCACCGGACCAATCCATATTTCGTAAAAGCAAACTCATGTATTCAAAATTAGCCACGCCATACTTGGAGTAATTTTAAGAATGTAGAAACATACCGTATACTTTTGATCGTGTTATAAAGTCGGAGGTACGATTCTCCTAGGATTACCATGAGAGAACCGTAGAGGCTATATGCAAGTAGAGTTACATCATTAGTGGTCCTATCAGATACCTATATCACGGTTCTCCTCTTCTAGTCAAGAATCTAGACTTGTACCTAAGTATAGTGATCAAACTCAAGTTACAGGCTTCTGCAACGTTCAAAAATGTCGCAATATTCTCACGTCTAGATGACAGAAATCATACCTTTTCTTTTCGGATTGTATGCTTTTTCTAGGCTTTTAAACTACTTCTATACAATTATGAAGATAGAAAATCTTAAGAAGAAAAGACTACTTAGTACGAGATAGAATTAAATTGACTAGATGGTTTTACATGATTTTCTAATTTACGGCTTGTTCTTACCAAAAATCCAGCATTTCATCACAGCTCATCATACATTGGAATAATCACACCACCAATGAGTTTACTGTGAGTGGTTTCAATCCTACAGTGCAATCACGTCACCTGTTCAGAACAGCTCACAAGCCTATTATTATCTCAGGGTTTAAAGGATAATATCAAAGAACTGAGTTGTCTCTTATTTGAAAGTTAGAAGCTTGTTTAGACAACTTGAAAAATACCAGCTTGATGAGGTATCACAGGTGTCATCTGCTATTATGTCCCCTTCCATGATAAGTGTGTTGAGATTCCGGAGGCACATTGCATGTTGTCTACACTACTCGATCTCAATATCATATTAGTCGGCGATGCCACGCAGCGAAGAGTTTAAATGACTACCCATATTTTCCCATAGAACATACAATTTGGTTTTAAAGCCAGCCAAGGCGTTTTATTGACTACCATACATAAATGAGAACGATTACCTAAATAAAAGAAGAAAACGACACAAGAGAAACAATAGACATTAAGTTGTACAATAGAGGCTAGCTCGTTGGGTTCGCTTTTCTGCCCACCACCCATTTCACGGAACATGAGTAGTTTTCAACCCCCCTCTGCTGGTAAATAACCATTCAGCATCTCGCAATGTCATCCCTATAAGTTATACAATGTATATCCACAATTTCCATTGCGCCAGAAGAAAAGCCCAGAAAACAATAAGACAGTGACCAAATAAACAAAAGAAGAAAATAAAAACACAAGAAGAGAAACCACATCCAACGATTCAAGCATGAATCTAATATCCCAAACATATTCTACACATAAATGTAGATAGAATGTTGATCCGAAGTCGGCTGCCGAGTTATCAAAGCCTTCCTAGAAGAGAAAGATAAGACTGATGATTGTTTGTCGGTCTGGTAGATGGTATAAATATCGCTAATTTGCATAATCGATATCGTGCGTTGCTACGATGCGCCGCGAGAATTTTTAGAGCTGTCGTATGTAAGGGTAAAGACAGTAAGCTTTGCGTGTTTGAACGATGAGTTGGCTGGCTGATTGCAGTCGTTGAGTCGAAACCTCAAATGTTTGGGGGGAAATATGACTGATAGACTGGCGTGAATGGAACACCTCGTTGTGACATGAAAGGTCTGAGTCTATAAGGCACGATAGTAGGCGCAGTGTACCCGGTGTCTTGATCCCATAGGTCTAAAGTGTCATGTCCGCTTTCCATCCACGCTCTCAACTCATGCAAGAATGTTTCTCCACGGTACCTCTTGTGAAAAAGAAATGCCACTTGTTCTTTGAGCTCATTCACATTCTCTCGGAGATCGTATATCTGTAGAAGATTTACAACAAAGGTGGTGATATCTTCGCAAGTTATCTCCTCTCCCGTGGCAATGTCTAGAGGCAAAGGCACAAATGCCAAATGAAACTCGCGGATTGTAAAATCACGGACTCGACGCTGCAAGACGTCGCTACCGGCGATCTGTTGAGGGGTGACTCTATGGAAACCGCCACTGATAGGATGAGATAGTAGTCGATAGATGTATATTTTTGAGCGTTCAATATCTCGGCCCATAAAATATACATACAAAGAGCGATCCTGTTGGAAAGTGGCCGAACTTGGTGGAAAGAGGCCCGTCAAGCGACGCGCACCAAGACGAAGCACGCGCTTGATAACCAAGAAAGGTCCCCTACAGCAAGGACATGTGTGGTTGTTGTTATCCTTCCATTCTTTCAAACAACAATAGTGGAAGTTTTGATGACCACAAGATGGAATTGAGGCGGTCGAACAAACCATTATCTCGCATGTTCGGCAGTCTTCATTCTCATGAGGATTAGAACCAAGTGAGGATAGACAGATCACACATTCTCTATCCATCTCGTTGGAGACTTCTGCCGGTGCCATGTCGAGTCGTTAATGGTTCGTTGAATTGAGAGAATATGAATCCACGCTTCTGTGAGCGTGAAACTTGTTCAAAGAAAAGTAGAAGAATTTGGAGGGGAAGTTGAGTAATTATAGCTAAATTTTCAGCGTATTACTAATATTTTAGTTTACATACCGAGTTGAATTGATTCCGCCTGCGTAGCATCAGGTCCTAACGTTGCCGATCTAGCCTTTTATATGCTAGACACCATCGAAGTTATTATCAAAAGGTAAGTTTACAAGGAAGTATGGCTTGGTATCAGTTACTCAGAGGTCTATCAAGCTAGAAATTCCTCTCTGCCCGCAGAAGAGAGCAAAAATTCAAGACTTTCTTGACGCTATTTATTGCCTAAAGAATTCCTACGAATGGCAGGAGCAATCGCATTCAGATGAGTTTGGATGCCCGCACCAGGGATACCTAAAGTACCTTCCAGTATTTCTACGCTCTTGTAAAATTCAATATGAGTTCAATTCATGAAGTTAGGACCGAGATAGTTAATACTTTTCTACGGTAGTAAGTCGGAGACTGAGGAATTAACACTCGATTAGTCGGGTATATCACTTGAAGAACCAAGTATCTCAACAAACAAACTAAGAGATACGAGTGAGAGAATACGTAGAAAACCTTGCACTGAATACGCCTATTTTATTGTTTCTTTTGATCCTTTTTGGTTTTGGCCTATTCCGAAAGGTTTGGTACGTACTCGCCGTGATTTAGTACATCACCAGCGGATGCACGGATTGACGGGACACTACCAAAATGGACTTGTAAATGTCTCTTGATATATTGAATTAGATATTTTCATAATTATTACAATCATTCATTAGATTTAAAACAATTGAATCATAAGTATCAATATTAAACAATTGAAGAATGAATTTATTAGAAATTTCGAAAGTTGGGAAATGTCCAATCAATACATACACCCACTGGTGCACCCACCAAGATGGAAGATCGAGCAACTATTTCTACAGCAGGTTTCTTTTGAATGACCCTATACGAATACATGCCATGTTCTATAAGATCAACGAACTTATTAGCCTCGCTGGAATGTATACCATAACATGGTCATATTTAATCATGCAGAAAATCAAATAGCCGACGATTAAGGATATTTCGCTGATTGAGAGTGCGATAATACCATTAATTGAAGTCACCTAAGTCTTGAGATGTACCCCTAGTTGAGGACATCTTAATGATGTTCAGAAATCAAGATCAACTGAGGAGAATACCGCGTCAGGTCCATTGTCGCAAACCGCTGATGATTGGATTCCATCAGAATTATCGATGGTCGTCATCATACATTTCTTTGGTAGGGATTAAGTTATTCAATTGCCAGACCCCACCTAGACACTTATGCACCAATAAGGAGGTCAAAGTCCGCTTAGCTAGTCGAATAGCTTGGTATTCTCAGCACATAGCTCTATATATTCTATTGAGAAGATATTTCCAATCCATCGAGATTGGGACCAATAATCTCAATCTCATCCCACAATATTCCACTGCCGAAAGTATCTTCGGCAGGTACTCTCCGTGCTATCGGCTCGTATCACCAGAAATGAAGTAAAACACACCAATATCGTGTGGAACAACACCCTTAGATTGATCATGCTACCTACCCGACGCTAATGTACTGTCAAAAAAATGGTATCATTCACACATTGATTCTTTCGCATCGAATGATTTAGATCACATGAATTTGAATACTGTATCGCTGTCTCAAAATTTCTCACGGAGAATATCTATCAATGTTGTCCCTTCTCCAAATCACACATGAAATATTTTTGGATTTCTTCGACAGCACCCTCGAACAAATGAATTTTGAGGAAGAACGCTAACACCATGGGAAAACCATGGCAACACCATGGGAATTCCCGCAGAACCGAGCCTTGGCACTGCTGTAGAAAGTGACAATGTCATTTCTTGGTGCAATAGACCTAGATTACCGACATCTCATGGTGTTCTCTACTGTTCCCGCCTTTTAATCATTAAGGTTGGGACTCTAGAACCATTGAAGGAATCGATAAAGGAAGGTGCTAGCCTAAATGGACATACAATATATGATAAGTTCGACGCCAGAGCCCTAACGATATGGCTGGTCCAATGGTAACCATGTACATTTCAATAAAATCCATTTTTCTTCGCTCTTGTAGATGCGGAGGAGGCTTAAGATCAGCACTGCTGTGGATCTAGATTATATGTCGATCCGCGACAGTAGCACTAATCATATTTACTAATTACATGGGCAGTCTTAACAACAATATTCAAAGGATTCCATGTTAGGGAACCAGAGTTTAGTGCCGTTCTTAGTCAGATCGTCGTATTTGCACGGAAATATTGAAATAGACTACTGCCAAGGCCCCGAGACTGGAAGTATAATCTTGACTGTGAACCCCAAACGGACTTGGACCCTGTATCTAACTTATCCCTAATATCATCTGACGCTATCAGACCAACAATCCGGACAACCGGAGTCATTCGCGATGCAGCTCTGACCAGCTGGCGCTCAAAGTATCATGGAGGGATGAAAGGAAATGATATTTAGATAGCTAAACAATCAATCATTCCACATTGCGACCAATTCAATCATAGTTTTCGTACATGTAAATAGATATGCAAGTGAAGATTTTCACTATAGAATTCATTTTGACAAAGGAAAGAACCGGGAGGCTCTGCATTACCTTCAAGATAGTCATTTTTTGCACTGCACTACTTAGCTTCGTTCTTGGAAAAAACGGCGATGGAAATTAGAGTTCTCCAGAACCAGACCATTTTCAGGCACAGCTCCGAACTTCATGTTAAGTCATCAAAAAGGAATGGCTGGATTGGTACACATCAAACCCGCAACCGGAGAGGTAAGTAGTTGGCTAGGTAACTCATGATTATAACTTACAAAATATGTATTGAAATGCGCGATTATGGAGATGTGTTTTTATGTTGATTTCTTGCGTTCCACGTGATAAATATCATCAGCAAGGTTTGACGATCAAAAATCTACTCCCTGTAAACTCCAGCCAGAAAATTGAAAGTTCTAGCAGGACTAGAATACTAACCATACTTTTCTTATGTTGAATGAAAAGGGAAGGGGTAGGAGGATGGCTAAGCACCTTGTAGTTCCACGTTGTAATGCATTCTGTCTTGAAGAAGCTCTCATCACAAGTTACAAAATTTATGTTTCAGGTATGGGCCTTTTCGATCCATTTCTTACACGTTCAAATTCTATCTTCATCTTTGGCTGGCATGGTATAGAAAAGTTATTCGATCTTTAGAGTAGCTGAACTATAGAAACACAAGTGAAAAAACACAAATATACATACAAACCAGCCTACAAAACTAACACTGTACCCCATGAACCAAAAACTACTATTCTCCAGCTTACGATGAAAGCTATACCACCGAAAAGAGCAATTTAAAGTGATTTGAACGATGAATGGCTATAGAAAGCTGAAAACCTCTACCGCTCGCCTTCCCTGATGATATCCAATTTTCTTTCTTCTTGCATGTCTTTACAATGGGCATCGGGGAATCTCTTGCACCATTTTATTGATAATCAAAAACATGCAAACAAGAGTTGGCGACTTCATCAGATATCTAAGGCAGAGCCCTTGTGATAAAGATCGTAATATTCATGATCGCTCACTTTGTTCCTTTCATCTAATCCCAAGATCACAGGAAAGGAAGCGAGAGTATTGATGATGATTTACAAAACTTATACACATCGAGGGGCTGTAAAGTCTTGGGCCTAGCTCTTGTACTCTTTCAATTCCTTTGAAGCCCTTTGCGAAATTAGGCTTCTTTTGCAATCGAGTAATAGAAGTATATCAGAATCGAAACTGATAAAGAAGTTTATGCCATCAAATTATACAACGCGCCCTTCACAATTCATAAGCCCTTTTTTGAATGTATTACCATCCTAGGAAAGCGTGAAAAGTTAGCTTACATGTAACAACATTACAATTTGAAAACCAATAATTGGGTACTTACATGAGAATATTTATGTTTAATTCACAAACCCTCATTTCTCATCTGATGTCTTGTTCTTTCTCCCAGTCCAGTCCCTTGGAGGACTTCTTGATGGAGGATTTCTTGATGAAGGATTTCCTGATGGAGAATTTCTTGACGGGGAATTTCTTGATGGATGTCTTCGCAGATTGAGCCATTTTAGCAAATTTACGAGAGAGCTTTTTGCGCCGACCAACTTCTGTAGGCGAGGCATCCTCAACACCATGAGTCTGTTCATCCTCCACATCATCAGCTACTGCTAAGGTATCAGTTGATCCCTCTAAAACAGACAATATGGCCTGGAGGTCGGCTTCATGAATTTCAACGGAATGCAACTGGGAACGAGAAAATATAGCTCGTGACCGCCAGGATCTCATCCCAGAGAAAAGACCGCGACGTCTTGTTCTTTGAGAAATCTTTTGGAGATCTAAACATTTCATGACCCTGCGTCTTGTGTTATGATTGCCGAGGACCGGGTAAGACTTCCAAGAGGCAGAAGTAGAAGATATAGTGACCGATCTGGGTACATGTTCCAAATGCATAACAGAAGAAGACGTAGTCACCCGTGGCACATTCTGATCAACTGAATGCGTAACAGGCTGTGCTACGGTTATGGGAGATGCAGTACCAATACTCTGTGCAGTATTGAAGCTCTCAATATTCTCAGAATTCGATCTCACATGAGCGAGACTCGGTCCTGATGATCGTTTAAGACCAGGTCTAGAGAGCCTCGTTGATGGAGATGTCACTGTATTGGAATTGTTTGGCTTCATTTCTGGATAACTCACAGCGCGAATCCATTCTTCCAACGTCTGACAGAAGCTTGTCAAGAACGCACGTGCCGAATGCAAGAACAAATCGGTATAATCATCCAAAGTATTTCTAATTATGCTTTCCGCGTAGTCTTTTCTCTTCTTCTGTTCCTCGGTAATATTCTCCATCTGGAGCGTAGCTATTACAGTGTTTTCAAATGAATGCCCGTGATCAGGTACTATTGTGATCTGCTTTAATGCTTGAATCTCGAGTCTTATCCAAGAACGCATGAGATCCTTAGCATTAGGATCATTTCTGAAAATTTGCTTGCAGATCTCGATGGAGTCAAGGGCCCGCCCTGTGCGAACAGAATGACAGTACATCGTCTTTTCGTAGATTAATCGCCGAAGGGCGACAAGTTCCACACGAGAGTAAGTACCAATCTTAGAATGACCTTCTTGAGCTGAAGACTGATGCATCTGATGATCTATTCTGCGATTCTTGATACACTTTTTGACGTATTCAATCTCGAGTGGTATGTCGATAAAACGACCCGCAAAGATAGTCATGCGACGAGCCTTCATAGTGTCTGTGTTGCATTTAGGGCACTTGGGATCTTCATAAAATTTATCTTTTATGCAATTTAAGTGAAGAATGCAATTGCATGGGTGCAATACAACAAATTGTTGAGCTTTATGAATATCCAAATAGCATTCCTGACATTGTGTGTCTTCATCTGAGTCTTCTTCATCCGAGCTTTCTTCATTTGTTGGCATATCGTCCCTGGTTGCAACGGAAGGACCTTCTTCATTGGACAAAGTTTCTTCATTATTGGAAGTCTTTTTGTTGACGAAGAAAAATGCATTCTTATGCCTTGTTAAGTTCGTTTGGATGACACTTGCATGATCTACACTCGCCAATGAGGTACGAGACGTAGCTCCGTAATTTTTGATAAAGTGGTCGTTCATTGTGATTGTTTCGTGGGTATGTTGTTGACTTTTCTAAGGAATCATCAGTTTAATGTGCGATAAACCTCTGAACGTTCTACTTACAGATATTCGTTCCTGCGATTAATGTTTTGGTAGTAATGTGCAAGCAGAATGCCAAAGTTAAGATGTGGAGATCAATGCCACTGATGAGAGGGGAACAGACAGTGGGTGTGAATGATAATGATATGAAGGAATCTCAATTGGGAATTGAAGAAAAATGGAATGATAGAGTTGGGTCAGGATTAATGTTGAGGGAATTGGATTGTTGACAGGAGTAGGTTAGAGCTCCGGGTAAAATTTGGTTAGTGTACAATAGTCGATCTACTTGGTTGTCGGAGATTTTTCACACACTGCGAAGAAAATGTGATTGAATCGTACGAATATTGTGCTGAATCTGAAAAAGACTTGATTTAATGGAAGAAGATCATTGACATGTAAAAATGTGAGAGTAAACTTGATATGCTGTGGGCATGGAGATGGAGGTTCCTTTCCTCAGAGGAAGGGACCAATCCCCTGATCCTACCAACTATTAGAAAGGTAAGAACCATTACTTGGCACCCCGGCACACATAGCAGAAGGGAGCTAGCCTGGAAAGGTAAAGCAGGTCCGCATGCCTTCAAAAGCGAGATCAATAGCTTCCGGAGCTTGCCACAACCCTAACCCACGATGAGCTTGAATTCTTGAGCTTGAACTCTTAATCCTTGCTCGTCTTCCTCGGATTTTGAGAAAGAATACGATATCCATGATAGACTATAAGCTGGAGCCCTCAGTGTGTTAAAGTTCACAGACAGCCGCTGGGTAGAAAAGAATTAGTCTTGGGTCTAAAATACTAAGCTGCTCAATTAGTCTGTGTTTTACTCATTCACGGAATGAATAAACCTTCCATCGCTAAGTGATTTAGAGCGGCAGGGACTAGTGTCATCTCAATGTATCCCTCCCACCCCACTGAACAGAAAAAAGTGGGAGAGGTATTAAATGACACATAGAATAACTCACTCCTCATCTGCGGTCAGAAACAAATTATTACTGTCCCGATTGACTAATATACAGGTAGACATAAATTGAGGTATCAACATTGAAGTCGAATTAAGGAAAATGTCCGTGCAGATTAACGGCTGTGGCGTTTTCGGTTATGCAGGGGAAACGGCATCCAATTTGGATTGCGATCACCAAATAACACCATAAACAAATATTCACAGCTGTATGATCCCTACGTGAAGACATGTGAGAGAATACAGGAGCAATCGTTCATTTGGTTGGTGAAATAAACATGATTTGTTCTATTATTTTAAGGGTGTGTCAATATAATGATGGATGCACTCGCTGCTTAAGTAATTCTTAGACTATTTTAAATCAGAGGCTAGCTACCGGTATTATTCAATCATGTTCTGCATCGATGGAAATTGACAAGTCGAACCGAAAAGCGTTTTCGATCAATGTCGGGATCTACTGCCAAGTGTCAGATCTGCGCGCTATGATCATTCCTGCAATGGGATTCGCTAACGAGTCCGCCGGGAATAGGCGATCATCGGTATTTACCCAAGCTTGAGTTTGATTTTAGTTAGCCCTCGCCGAGTATCTCCTGTAATGCGTGAGTTCTGGATAAAGATGAATGCCCTCAGTGTAACGATCCGCTGATCATATTTAATGAAGGTATAGTTTAGCAAATCTGAATCAATCGTCATGAAATTGCTTAGCTTATTTGTTAGTGTGGGGTCAAAATAACTCATATATAGCGATCGGCCCTTGTAAGTCTTTGAGAAAGATTCCAGACTCTTTTTGTCTCGATTCGTTGCTGAGATACATATGACATAGAATGTAATTTCATGAAGCATTTCTGTCCTCATTTCATCTATTTTATCAATCACATTCTTCAATTTCGTTTACCATTAATCTGCTCCTTCGATTGGTTGGCTACCAGAAAACAGTCCGATCCAATCCAATGTGTACTTTTAAGTCCAGATATTGAGCGATGGACCAATGCCGGATATCCAGAATGCGTTCTCTCACAAGCGGTGACGACTAGATCGAAACGGGGCTAGAATCGTCTACAATGAGCAAGACTGATTTTATCAAGCGAGTTCGTCCCACATGCCTCACGAAAAATGAGTGCGATCATGATTTAGTCAAGCCAAAGAAGCAGGTTTCTGAAAGTCAGCGAATCAAAACCCAGATTTTTCGTGTGATGGGCTAGGCTGAGAAGATCTGCGAGCTTGGCAAGACTCTCTATTACCTTGTACAAAAGATGTTGCAACCAATAATGTTTCGCTGTTGAATCTCGGGACCAAATCGGGTATTTTCATTTATCTGACCTTTGACTGACAGAAGATTGGTAATTTTTTGTAACTTTAAAATTGCGAAAATAAATTACCAAATGATATGAATGAAGCTTTGCTACATCCAATCATTACTTTGTATTCGTATGAAGCGCTTTGAGAAGCAAAACTGAATACTGTTGGCAAAATAGCCAGAATTAAACTCCCTTGTATAGTGATTGAAGCCGATTCGCCGTCGATAAACACCGTCGAGGACTGCCTGCCATACGTCCAGTTAATTCAAGTTTTCTCAAAGAACTCTTGCTTTGCTATTTCGAAGGATTAACCTGACTCTTACATCCACAGATGATGGAAACACCAGTACCCTATGCATCACCCCTTGAAGCAGCGATAATCTACTTGTGCGGCCACAAAACAAGGAATTTCGAGTCTAGGTGCACATACCACAAGACAGTAAACTATGAGAGGGGCACGTTGGCATTTATTTAGCGGCAAAGTTGCATGCTTTAAGAAAGCCTGGGTGTAAGAGTCATAATATTTGTTTGCGGTGGATCTTCATACTTTCTCGGGCGCGCAGTCATATAATCTAATTTTGTGCGAAATACCAGATAAAAAGAGTTCAATAATCCAGTCTGTTAGCTCTTTCAAAGATTGTCTGAATGAATTTCTACCTGCCCAAATTCCAGATCATGATTATTCAAAGATTCTGTGGTTTGGCTAATTACAGAGATCAAATACCGGGGAAAGCAACTTGAGTAGAAGATACGCAACCAGGATTTGACTCCATACATCTTCAAAATCTTCGGTACGAAGACTATTCACGTATTAGTATTTAGATCTTTTTACTGCCATTATTACAAGTTGCCACTACTTAGAGATTCTCGCAACTTCACAACCATAGATTTAAAGACATCCTATGTCTGCCACCATCAACGAAAACGCCTGTTGTTCTAATGTCATTTCGAATTTACAATTATCGGGATATTGATCATGTGATCTAAGAGGGCACTGTATTGCAACTAGCGTATATACTAGTGTATACACTAGCGCTAGCTCTTCTACTATATTAAGTACTAGCTTCCTATAATAATAAGAATCAAGTATAAATAAAACACAATAAACTAAAATACTATATATTTTATTAATCTAAGTTAATATTAATACTAATTAGTAATATCACAAATTAAAGCCTTGGATTTTATTATAAAATACTAAATGCTTTAAAATAGTTTTTAAGATTAATAGAAATTCTGAAGAGATTATAAAGAAAGATATCATTGTACTTGATATAATATACTATCTCTTTTTTATTATACTAAAAAGTATACTTCGAATAATTATATCAAGAAAATATATTCAAAAAGATTGATTTTATCAATTATAACAAATCGAGCTTACATTTATTACATATTCACTTTTATATTATATATTATATAGAGTAACCCACAAACCTTTATTTAAAATATATTTATAAATACCCTTTTACCTTTTTACTCTTTCATTCTTTCAAAAATATTTACATTTATACCTACTCTCACATACTATTATATCAAACAGCAATAACATTACAACTACCCCTACTACCCCTAAGATTATTAATAAGAACTTATATATAAAGAAAAAAGAGAATTACTACAAGAAATAATTAAACCTAATAAAGGAATAACAAACTAAAAATAGATTTATATTCAATACTAAAAAGTTCATTAAATATATCAAATTCAAATACAAACAATATAATTATAAGAATATCAATAATAACAAATTCATCAAAATCTTTTATAATAATTTCAATATATTTATATCTAAACAATTTTCGAAAATCCATTAAATAAATACATAAAAGCTATATATAATACTATATATACAAAAAGTATTAATATCAAAAACAGATATTAAAGTATATATAGCTTTATACAATCAATCTTGTAAATCTATTACAGAAATATAAACAAAGAATTAGATTCAAGAAGTTTTAAAGGATTACAATATTAAGGATTCTAAATTTAGATTTAGAATAATTAAGAGATTTATCGAAAACAATTTTAAATATAATAATAATCGAGAAGGTAATAAAAACAATAATAAAAATAGTAATAGAAATAGTAATAAAAATAATAATGGGAATAGTAATAGAAATAGTAATAGAAATGATAATAGAAACGATAATGAAAAAGGAGATTTTAATAATAATAATAACGATAATAATAAAAAGAAGGAATAATATAACAAGAATAAAAAACTATCAATATATCTCAATTATTCCAATAATCAATCTCTTATTAATCTATTCAAATTCTATATTGATAAAAAGAAATATAATGGAAATAACAATAATTTCGATTTCAAACTTTCAATATTCTATAAAATCTTATAATACACAAAAGTATTTATAAACTTATAATATAAGATATTCCTAATTATATTTAAAAATAATATATTTCAATTCTTTTATATTAACTACACCTTATTATTATCAATATTCAAAAAGCTTTATACTTATATACAAAGTAATTTTGAGGAAAAGAAGTATTAATATAATATACTATTTAAATAGAATAGTATTAATCTCAAATCGATTAAAAAGGAATATAAAAATAAATTACTCAATAAATATCTTATTATCATAATCAAAAAACTATATATGCTATAATATCGATTTAATCCTGCTATATAATAGACATCCTATTTGTACAATAAGCT